GGCTCTTTACAAAGAGAGTTTGGGGAAGTCATCTTTATAGCCTGGACCACATTTCTATAGTGAATTCCTACTTCCATTTGCTTTTGAGAAATGAAGAAAGTGATTGGTGATCACTCTTTCAAGCTTTTCTGCCACAGAGATGCTAACAGGCCTTTCTTGGTTTTGCCTCCCTTAGGGGAACGTGACCCTGAAGGAGCTGAACGCGCGCCCCATGGAAGTGTTCATGTGCAGTGTGCTCAAGAGGCAAGGCTACGGCGAGGGCTTCCGCTGGCTTTCCCAGTATATTGACTGATGTTTGGACAGTGAAAATAAAAGAGTTTTCCTTCTCTGGACTGATCCTATTCACAGCTTCCTCATGAACTTTTCTAATAGAACAAGGAAAGCTCTTCAACCGTGTCTGGCGTTGAGAAGTCAAGAGTCTCTGTCAGTCAGCTCTCTCATTGCCCAGTGGTGATACGTGCTCTTCTCCACACTGTTGGGAGGTGACGCTGCCCCACGTGCCGGCGCAGGTCAGCATCCCGGGACTTGGAAGCTGGCAGGATTTGCTGAGTAAAGCTGTGTGCCAACATGGGGCACCTGAAAAGAAAAACACGTCTCACCACTGTGGTTGATTTCAAAAGAAAGTGATTCTATTTTTTAAAGAAAGTGTTGTTATTGGTGTCCCTCCTAACTTTTTGAGTTAAAAATTTCCTTGGTCCAGAGTTTTCTATTCCTTTTTTTTTTGATCTAGTGAATGGCATTTAGATACTTCATAATATTATGCACAGAAACACATCGGAGGCCAGAACTCCCGTGAAATGAACCTACTCCTGCTGCATTAGCAGGTCAGTGAGAGAAGTTCCCCTGTGTCTGGCTGCCCGGCAGTAGGTGGCCCCACTTTGTGCAGTGAGGAGCCAGGAAGGGCAGGGCCTGGCCTGGCGCTTGTAGCATGTTTCCACCACGGAAGCCAGGATCATTCCTCATTGTGGTATGTAGAGCAGATTGTTCACTGTGGAGGACTTCTTTAGAGAGGGGTTATTTTATTATTTTTACTTCTAAAGTTACAAATTTCAGCTAGTCTTTGCTTTTATACTGTTGGGAAACTTCGTTTCTCTCCATAGCACCTTTCTCATTTTCAGTTTCATAAATGACTCTTGCCTCATCAAAGAGAACATCTCCCATGTTGTCCTACACTGCAGGTGTGTGTCTGTTACTTTTGCACAGATTCTAGGGTAAAATTTTTTGAATAGGTGAGTCCCACAGGACAGTTAACAGCCGACGAGCTTTTAATTCTATGAGTTGAGAACTTAAAAATCTGGTATTTGTAGCATTTGCTTGGATCCAGGAAAGATTTATTTAGTGGGCTTTATTATATGTGCTGCAGAAGTGAGCACTACTTAGTGGGCTTTAAAATTCTCACTTGCAGGATTTGGTCTCTTTATGGGACTGTTCATGGCTCTTTTTATCGGTTACCTTTTTTTTTTGGTATGGAATTGCCTTTCACCATTCCAGAAGTAAGCTGGGGAAACTCTAATCTAAGAGCTTTGTGTAGTGCTATTCCTTTTGAGCCAGCATCACTTGTCAGTAAGAGCTCAGTATAAAAAGCCTCAGCATGCCCAGTAGTGTGATGAGGATCATTTTTATAGCATTCGTTTTTCTTGGTGCCATGAATAAAATTGGGTTTTCATGATCTTGACCAATATTAGATCCTTTCTTAAGATGAGTGGATATCTTCATTTTTGTTTAATGAAAGATTAAAAGTAGTTTCCTCAAAGCAAAATTGTGGTGATGATGCTTTATTTGCAAAGGATTGAACTAAATTCAGTGGATTCTTGTGTCTAATGTGAGGGTAAGGAAAGTGTGGATAACATTCCAGAGGTGAGAGTATTGTTCTTTAATGGATTTCTCGTTGTTAGTCTTCAGTACTGACCTATTAGAAAAGCATATGTTCTCACTGCCAGGTACCAAATGCAGAGGCTCAGTAAAGGATAAATCTGGGAAGAGCATGCCTTTTCTTTATTAGCAGGCATAGCTGGATTAAAACAAAATTGTGGGTTTGGAAAGAGGTGAAAGCCTTAAATGAACAAATCTAGCTAATGGTGAATGAACTAGGTAGTTAACTTGCATACTTTTAATTCCTTTGGCTAAAGGTAACCCATACTTCTTTATCCAGAGACATGAGAAGTATGATTGCAGTGCTAGTTTTCTTGTTTTCGTTTTTTTCCCATTTGTCCCTAATCACTTTGTAGCAAGCTAGAAAACTGTGGATTCTACACAGATCAGCTCTTTGTGAAAGTGGTTGACCACTGGAGAAAGAGGGGATTGAAAAGTCAGTTGGCATCCGTCTATTTCTTGCTCCACAGAAAACACTGTTCCTATAATAAGATCGCAAAAGAAGCCGCTGTGAGGAGCTTGGCTCTTAACAGTAAGGATCAGAGCTTTGTACAGGAATTCCCATAAATTGAGACTTTTCATTCTGTTTTATCAGAGTGCATATATGTCCTATTTCAGGAAAAGTTAAAACGGTCATTTACAAAAGAAAGTCAGTCTGTATCTAAGCATTTTAATAAAAAGTTAAAACAAACTTGCTATCTTGTTCCATTTATTTTTTTCATGTATTTGCATTGGTTTGTTCTGAGTTTGAACATCCGCTGACGTTTGTGTGTGTGGTGGGGGTGGGGAAGCAAAAGTTGTTTCCTACTTAAGTAAGAGGATAAGAAAGACTTTGCTACTAGGAGGGAAAAAAACCTAGGCCAATTCACACATTTTATTCAAAGTGATAAATTTAGTACCATTTGAGAAGCTTTGAATATGTGATGATCCCAGGATTGGGGGTATGCTTTTTTTTTGGGGGGAGGGATATACTTTTTAACAAAATCTCATACTAACATACTAGCAAGGACTGGGTCCAGTTTAGCTATTTACCATTTTATACAGAATTGGAGAGATTCAGCTGAATGCTACATTTGGTAAAGTAGGAGAAGGAATGAAGCGTGTGCTTGTGCATTTACTAGGCTTGTAGGAAGCCTTGTTTTTAGAAAACCCAAATGAGATTCTAAAACTAAGGTAATATGACAAATAGAGTGGGAAGCAAAATGCAACAGGTCCTTTTTGATCGAGTATTAAGTATTAGAGGCTGAAACTAATGTCCCTGTTACTAAGATGATGCCATGGGTTCTATGTTTATATGCATTGTCTGCGTCGTTTGAGTTAGAGTGGAACATGAGAAGTACAGACTCAGGGAGCCCAGCACTCGGGGTCTCACCTCGGCTGTTGGCTGTGACTTGGAACTCTATACTCTGATGCTGTAAACAGAAAAACCTGACGCAAAACAGTTCATGCTGGAGGCTTGAGCGTCATTAAGGGAGAATCATGGGACTCTAGAGAGAAAGAAACTCTTAATTGCCAGGAAGTTGGGATAGTTTTTCCTGCGATCGAGGCATTGTCTGTGTCACAGAACCAAAAGAAGACAGATGGGAAGACCGCTAATTTCTGTCCCATCTCAAACTATGATGCGTTGTCATTTAACTCAAACAGCTTTGTGTCACTGGGGGCATTGCAAACATTACCCTGTGTCGTGCTGGGGAATACGCTGAGCGGCATTAGTTTTATTCAGAAACTGTGTCAGAAAGGTTATGTGATTTAAGTACTGACTGAATAATTTTTGTTAATGCTGACAGAAAAATGTACCAAAATAATCTGGGCTGCTGCCTGTTTTTGTATGGCCTGTGAGGGAAAAGAAAGAATGCTGTCTTGTGACAAAATTCAAATTTCAGGGCAGCCCAGGTGGCTCAGCAGTTTAGCGCCGCCTTCAGCCCAGGGCCTGATCCTGGAGACCCGGGATCGAGTCCCACGTCGGGCTTCCTTCATGGAGCCTGCTTCTCCCTCTGCCTGTGTCTCTGCCTCTCTCTCTCTCTCTATCATAAGTAAATAAAAATTAAAAAAAAATTAAAAAAAATAAACACTTGGTATTTGAGAGTTTATGGCCCGCAAAACCTGAAGTACTGACGTTCTGGCCCTTTACTGAAAAAGCGTTTGGCCCCTGATAAATCCCTAGGTGGTGGTTCTAAATCTTAGAGGAAATGTGCATGCTGCAAAAATACAGGGGTGTGTAATTAAAATTTTTGACTTCAGTTCCTGTTCATCATGGTTTTATTTCCAAGATTTTATTTATCCATGAGAGACAAAGAAAGGCAGAGGGAGAGGCAGGCCTCCCGCGGGGAGCCCGATAGGGGACTGGAGCCCGGGACCCAGGGGGGGGGTCACACCCTGAGCTGAAGGCAGACAGACGCTCAACCACTGAGCCACCCAGGCGCCCCTGTTCGTCATAGTTTTTATTTTTTATTTTTATTTTTTTTAAAAGATTTTATTTATTTATTCAGAGAGAGAGAGAGAGAGAGGCAGAGACACAGGCAGAGGGAGAAGCAGGCTCCCTGCAGGGAGCCCGACGTGGGACTCGATCCCCGGTCTCCAGGATCACGCCCTGGGCTACAGGCGGCGCTAAGCCGCTGGGCCACCAGGGCTGCCCCATCATAGTTTTTAGAGGGCAATTTTATTTTGCGCAAACCCAGTTTTCACGAGTTCTGTCTTGGGCTTTGGCCTTAGAAGGCCCTAGGTGTAGCCCTGCGAGCTGCGTGCCACCTGGTGGAGGGCTGTAGTGTTTATTTACAACATCTCAGCCGAGGCGGCCAAGCGGCCCAGGATTTCCTTGCTCTTCTCATCCCGGGGGTCAGAAGCCGACGGCTCAGGATCCCGCCCCGGTCTGGGCAAGTCCGGCCGCATCGTTTCTGCTCCTCCCCCTCCGGGCGACACCGCACACCGCTCGCGCCCTGAGCTCGTCGCCCTCCGCCCCTGCAGCGCCCGGGTGCGCCGGCCCCACGGGGCGGGGCGGGGCGGGGCGGGGGCGGGGCCAGCCCGGGCAGCCAATCAGGGCTCGGCCCCGGCGCAGCCCTTGGGGCGGGCGAGTTGCGGCTTAGCCAATCGGGCCCGACGAGGAAGACCTGAGTCAGCGTTCGCGCCTGTGGCCGCCAGCTTCGGGGGGCGCTGCCCGGGGCCGGCGGGGCCCGGCGGGGCGCTCGCTCGCGGCTCGCTCGCGGCTCGGTCGCGGCCCCCTCGCTGCTCGCTCGCTGCTCCCGCCTTCCCCCGGAGGCCCGTGCGCACCGTCGCGGCGGACATGGCGCGGCAGTGGGGGCCCTCCATGAGGGCGGCCGAGAAGGCCGGCTGCGTGGTGAGCGCCTCCCGGGCCGGGCAGCCCGCGGCGGGCTCGTGGAGCTGCAGCGGGGTGATCGTGAGCCGCGGCCCGGACCTGGTGCTGTGCCACGGGGGCATCTTCACCCCCTTCCTGCGGGCCGGCAGCGCGGCGCTCACGGCGGCCGGCGCCGCCTTCCTGCGCGGCGACAGTTGCGGCGACGACCTGCGCCTGCACGTGCAGTGGGGCCCGGCGGCCGCGAGCCCCGCGGGCGGCGCGGAGCGGGGCCGGGCCGGGCTGTGCACGCCCCAGTGCGCGGCCCCCGAGCCCGGCCCGCCGGCCCGCCCCCGCGGGCGCCCCCTGCAGCCGCCGAGGCCCGCCGAGCTGCTGCTGCTGCTGAGCTGCCCGGCCTTCCGGGCCCACTTCGCGCGCCTCTTCGGGGGCGAGGCGGCCGAGCAGTGGCGCTTCGCGAGCGCGGCGCCGGACGACGAGGTGTCGGAGGAGGAGGAGGAGGACCAGCTGCGGGCGCTGGGCTGGTTCGCGCTGCTGCGCGTGCGGCGGGGCGCGGCGGCGGCGGCGGCGGCCGCCGAGCGGGAGCCGGGGCAGGAGCCGGGGCAGGAGCAGGAGCAGGAGCCGGAGCCCGAGCCGGAGCCGGCGGAGCGCGGGCCGGCCGTGGCCGTGGCGCCCCTCGGGGCCGTGCCCAAGGGCGCGCCGCTGCTGGCCTGCGGCTCCCCGTTCGGGGCCTTCTGCCCGGACATCTTCCTCAACACGCTCAGCCGCGGGGTGCTCAGCAACGCCGCGGGCCCGCTGCTGCTCACCGACGCGCGCTGCCTGCCGGGCACCGAGGGCGGCGGCGTGTTCGCGGCGCGGCCCGCGGGGGCGCTCGTGGCGCTGGTGGCCGCGCCGCTCTGCTGGAAGGCCCGCGAGTGGGTGGGCCTGACGCTGCTGTGCGCCGCCGCCCCCCTGCTCCGCGCCGCGCGGGCCGCGCTCGGCCGCCCGGGCCCCGGCGCCCCGGCCCTGGCCGCCCTCCTGCCGCGGGAGGTGGGCGCCCCCTGCGGCCTGCCCCTCCGGGCGCCCGGGCCCCCGTGGGCAGCCGCGGCCGTGCTGGTGGAGTGCGGCGCCGTCTGGGGCTCCGGAGTGGCCGTGGCGCCCCGCCTCGTGGTGACCTGCCGGCACGTGGCCCCCCGGGAGGCGGCCAGGGTCCTGGTGCGCGCCACGCCCCCCAAGTAAGGCCCGCGGGGTTGCCCCAGCCTGCCCCCGCCCCAGGTCTCGGAGGGTCCCGCGGCTGCTCGGCGGGTGGAGGGCGGATAGAGACCTGGGTCCCCCCGCCCTTCCCTGGCGCCCGGGCCTAGAGTAAGGGGCGAATGGGGCTCGGGCAAGATGCCCGGCAGCTCTGGGTTGGGGGACCGTGGGGGAGCCCCGGCCTCCCCGACTCGGCATCTTGGAGCCGCCCCCCCCCCCCCCCCACCAGCCTGCATTAGCTTCTGAATTCTGACTGCTGGGTCTCCCAGCCCTGCACGCCCGCACCACTGGGCCCCTTGAAAGCCGACTCCCCCGCCCCGCTTTCTCCCCTAGAAGCGGCAGTGAAGCCCCAGAGGCCCAGGGTGCTGCCTTCCTGGGCTCATGACACGGGCCTCTTACTCTTACTTGATTGCTCTCTTAGGTCTTGAACAGAACTTCCCATCGGGCTAAAGGTGACAAGTGTGGGGCTCCACCTAATTAGAATGGGAGTGGGGCCCAGCACACTGGCGTATTTGAACAATCTTCAGGTGATCCTGGCAGCCAGGTTCTAGGTTGGGGCTTCCTCGTTTGTTCCCCCTCTGCAGGGAAGAGCACTCTTGGCATCCTTGGCTTCCATTTGTTGGGCAGTAGGGACAGCGGCCGTGGCTTCCTGGCTCGGGTTTCTAGTACCTGTTGGGTTTCTGCTGTAGGCCCAGGTCCTCCACGCAGGAGCAGAGCAGTGTAGCACCTTGGTGTTCATGCCTGAGGTTCTGTACCTGGCTCAGCCTAGCCCCGCAGCCCAGGCCTTTCCACATCCCTCTACTGAATTTCCAGGGTCAACCCAGCCCAGCCTTGACATAGGGTTTCCCTGCTGGTGTCCAACAGGGCAGGAAGACTGATAATGAAGAGTTCCCCGTATGTGAGATGCCCAATCCCCCAGCCCTGCCAACACACACGCTGGCTTCTAGGGAGCCCACTAGGTCTGCTGGAAGCCATGCCTGCAGAGTGTGATCCCAGGCCGGTCTGTAGGCCGCCTCCCCCTGGGATGACCTGTGAAGTCTTGGAACAGAGCCTGGCCCCTGTAAGAGCCATAGAAGTGCTAGTGCTTATGTATGTAGTTAGGGACACAGGATCGAAATGGTGTGTCTGCCTCACCAGCCGGCAGGATTGTTTGCCTGAGATGAGGCAATGAAGGAAAACATTGGGAATGTGTGCCCTGGCTTCTGCCGCTTAGTGTGTGACCTTGAGGAAGTTACTCAACCTCTCCGGCCCTCAAATGTACCATTTAAAATGGTGATAACACCAGTGCCTAGTTCTCTTTTCTTTTTTTTTTAAAGATTTTATTTATTTTTTTCATGAGAGATACAGAGAGGCAGAAACAGGCAGAGGGAGAAGCGGGCTTCCTGAGGGGAACCCAATGCGGGACTCGACCTCAGGACCCCGGGATCACGACCTAAGCCAAAGGCAGATGCTCAACCACTGAGCCACCCAGGTGGCCCTCCAGTGCCTAGTTGTTAGGGCTTCATGAGAACTAAATACCAAAATGAAATGGTGTTCACAGAGCATCAACACCAGCCCTGGCCCATAGTGCTCACCGGGTGTTAGGAGTGTGAGGAGGCACAGGGAACTTCTGTAGAAGTCTGCTATAGTTGGCGAAGCATGTCTGGAAATGTACCACAGGGTGGCTGAGGCCCAGATGCCTGCCTGGTACGTGGCAGGGCTGGTGCCAGACCCGTTAACCCCCAGGTCTGTGACTTCTACTGTCACTCTCATTCCCTGGCATCCTCCCTGCACTAAAGGGTCAGAAAGCTAGCCCATCACTTTGTTTCCCTTGCCCCTAGGAGTGCTATGATCTGGGGACATGTGGTGTTTGCCACCCAGGAGACCTCTCCCTATGACATAGCGGTCGTGAGCCTGGAGGAGGACTTACAGGGGATCCCCCTGCCTGTGCCAACTGAGCACTTCCACGAAGGTAAAGGACAAAGTTGGTCCTCTGGTCTGGGGAAGACCTCAGGGAGCAAAGTCAGCGCTGGGTACTCTGACCCTCTAGATTGGGGGGCCAGTGCCCTAGGCGGGTTCCCTGCCCACTCCCTGCTGGGATAATGAGTCGGGACAGTGTGAAGCTGCAGTGAAGCATCCTGGTGCATCGGCTGGGATTGCTCTTGGAGGCTTCCCTGCTTGTGGCCAGCATGCTCCATGGCAGGGGGCGGGAGGGGGGCGCAGATGGAATCCCTAGCAAAGCCCTGCAGCAGTGTAACGTGGAGGGGCTGAGCAGGGGGGTTCCTCAGAACACTGCGGGCTGGCCAGGGTGGTGGTCCCCTGTTGAGGCTCCAATGGCACGGCATGCTGCCTTGGATACCTGAAGTGTCACTGTGCGGGTGCAGTGTGATGGACAGATGACACCTCTAAGTGGCCATCTCTTCTGCCACTTGCTAGCCCTGTGTCCTTGGACAGGCAACTCCATATTCTTTGCCTCAGTTTCCACGTCTGTAAAATGGGGATATGCTCCCTGTTCCTGGGCATTGTGAGGAGAGAATGAGACGTTGCCTGTAAAGCACTTAGATGCATGCTCTGTGTGTTCAAAGCACTTGGGAAAGGAAGTTGGCAGGCAGTTGGTCGTCATCACCACCACTTTTTTTCACCAAGAGACTTCTTAATCCAAGGAGGAGATGGGTGTTAATGTCACAAACATTTATTGAGCACAGGGCTGGGTGCCAGGGACCCTGAAGAGTGACTCCCTCATCCAGCAGGGAAATGAGGGCTGGAGAACAGCCTGAGGCTGAGAACAAGGGGTGAGCAGGTGCTGGGAGCTCAGTGGACGTCCCAGCCTCTTCCCGAGAGGGACCTGGGGCAGACTCCCTCCCTGGAGGCAGGAGTATCTGAGCAGCAGCCTGAAGGGCAGAGAAGGTTTGGAACTTTGGAGAGGACAGGGAGCAGACTGGGGAGCGTGTGTGAGTTGTGTCAGACAGAGGCAACTCCCCACCTTCACCCTCCTTTCTTTCCGGGCAGGTGAAGCTGTCAGTGTGGTGGGCTTTGGCGTCTTTGGCCAGGCTTGCGGGCCCTCGGTGACCTCAGGCATCCTGTCAGCCGTGGTGCGGGTGGATGACACACCGGTGATGCTACAGACCACATGTGCTGTGCACGGCGGCTCCAGCGGGGGACCCCTCTTCTCCACCTGCACAGGAGACCTCCTGGGTAACCAGCTCCTTGGCCCTCTCCCAGCCTTCCCCTTGCCAGAGTCTCAGTCCCATTTAATGAGTGCTGGGCACCCTGTCCTGGGAGCCACCCACGGCCTTGGGAGATGGGCCTTATGGTCAAGAGGTAGTTAGCCAAGGTTTTTGGGCACTTGTGCTAGTGAGAGTGGAGAGGGACAGATGCTGAGCAGCAAGGTGGAAAGAGATCTGAGTTGGGTTCCTTCTCTGCCACTAAGCCACTGCACCACCTTAGGTAAGTCACCTGATCTCATTGGGTCTGTGAAACTAGGAGTTGGATTGGTCCAGGAGTCACAGGTCAAGTGAATGAATGAGGGAGTGAAAACAGCAGGGAGTAGAGGGTTAAGGGTGACTGGGGGGAGCACCACTCTGCTCCAGCACCCCACTGCCTCATCCCATAAGACTCTGAGGCTAACATTGCCTGATTCTGTAGTTGTTCACTAGCAGCTCTGGACCCATTTTTTCCCCCTCTAAATATGTGGTTGTTAAACCTTTCGATTTAAACATTATGGTAACTAATTCTGGTTAAAACAAAACAAAACAGTCTGTACATTAAAAAAAAAAGCCAACCTTGAGTGCATGTGGTTACCTCCAGCTGTATGCCTGCACCAGGTCATGTGATGCTTCCCCTTCCCTTACTTCTGACCTAGTGAGAAACCTTGCCCAGCTCATGCTAGCTGGAATGGATTTCCTTAGTTCTTCAACTGTAGGACACAAAGTACATGCAGAATCTATACTTCACACCCCTGCATGAAATAGATCTACCATCTAGAGTACAGCGTTCAAGTGCACAGAGTTCTTTTTGCCTTTAGCCCTAACATGTCCTGGCAAAACACTGTTTTCCCTCATTTCTTAGGTCAACTCCTCTCTTCCGCTTCCCCTTTAGCACAGTTAATGATTCACTGGTGATACACTTAGAGCTAGTTGTCACAGTCTGCATTTATTCCCTCCATAGACTGGCGGACTTTTAGAAATACACACACGAAGAAGTGGAGGTAGTGATAATGTCAATGTGTAGGCATGAGTTAGTGCATATCTATCTATATCTATATCTAGCTTTGTCCGCTGAGAGGGTTAGAAGCAGTGACACCCCAGTTGCAGGGAGCACACCAAAAGCCCAGATCTTGGCTTCTCTGAATAAATATTAAGACAGAGACCAAAAAAACAAACAAACAAAAAAAAGAGACCAGTGGCAGCGCTTCCTTACAGAAGAATTCCAATTACTAAATGCAGAAGAAACGAGGGAAGTAGAAAACCGCTATTAGGAGACCATAGAAGGAATTGCTGCACACAGGACCCACCGATGAGTGGAAAGTAGAAATGAGATATTTGCATGATCCTAAATGATTTCATACTTAAAAGAGGGAAAACAGTAAGCCTACGTGAGAGAAACCTACAGATAGCACCTTTGCCAAGTGATCAAGATTAGCTGGCATCACGGGCATGCTTACAGACATCAGCCACCTCCCGATAGGCCGCATTGAGAAGGGCTCGGGGCGCTAGTCTCAATCGCACACTTACCACTAGATAACATCGGGGGACCCCACACTGAGGGACGTTCTACAGGACAACTGACCTGTGCTGTTCCAAGTGTCCAGGCCATGAGAGAGAGAGGGAAAGACTGGACCTGGCCCAGACTGGAGAGGACTTGGGGACATGACAGCAAGAGGCTTCTGGGACCCTGGATTGGATGGATCCTGGAACAGAAAAAGTGCTCATAGAATCTGACTGGTGACATCCACACACGTGACTGTATCTCAGTCAATAGTGTTGTTCCAAGGTTGCTTTCCTGGTTTTGATCAGTGTTTCACGGTGACAGGAGGAGGAGCTGAAGGGCATAGAAGGATTCTCCTATTTTGGCAATGCTGCTGTAAATCTGCCTAAAAAAGCACATCCCCATGCACACACTCGCACACACACATGCACCCCCACAAGGCGCAACTCATCTATTCATTCAGCCCGCACGTTCCTGTTGATGCCCCCGGGTCAGGCACCAATCTGTAGGTGTGAGGCCCATGCGTGCGGAGAGCCCACAGAGCAGACACTAGCTGGAGAGAAAGGTCACAAAGTAAGTGAGACATTGTGTGTTAGGTCCTGACAGCGTTGAGGGGAAAGTCGGTCTGGGAAGGGGCCCCAAGGCATGGGGGGCCCGAGGCCAGGAAGGAGGCTTCAAGCCCCCAGCAGTCCTAGGGCCCCCAGCCTGGAGATGGGGCTCCGACCCTCCTTTGGGCCACAGGCTCACACCCTGCTTCCTCTTTGACTCCTGCACAGGCATCGTGGCCAGCAACACCAGAGACAATAACACCGGGGCCACGTACCCCCACCTGAACTTCAGCGTTCCCATCACCGTGCTGCAGCCGGCCCTGCAGCGGTACAGGCAGACAGGTGACCTGGGTGGCCTCCGGGAGCTGGACGGGGCCGCGGAGCCAGTGAAGGTGGTGTGGCGGCTGCAGCGGCCCCTGACCCAGGCGCTCTGCAGCAAGCTCTGACGCCTGGCAGCTCTCTGGTCGGAAGAGCCACCACCTCCCAGGCGCGCCGAGGGAGCAGCCCCGGGATCCCCCCACAGGGCACACCCCAGCTGGGCCGCTGCCCCATCACCACCTCTCGTTCAGCTCTGAAATCTGGACCATGCTTCCCTTCGGCCCCATGGGTCTCCAGCCGGGTAGCCTGTTTGGGGGTGCTTTTTTGAGCCCTCACCTCCGTCTGGCCCCTGGCACTAGACTCAGCTGTACTGTTTGGCCTTCTGAGGGGCCCCGTGCAAGTGCACAGCCATCCCGGTCCTGACACGCGGGTGCTGGCTGGAGGGCTGGCCCAGCCCTGGTTTGCACCTGTTCACTGTCTGCTGATGGCCACTGGCCACCGGAGCAGCGGCTTCACTGGGGCAGGGGCTTCCTCAGAAACCCTTGGCGGAGCGGCGCGCTCTGAAGACCAAAGACAAAGGGAGAGAACGGCTTTCTGTTCTGCTACATCTCTAGGTGGAGTCCCTGAAAGTTGTGGGTCTTCATAAGTTGGGTGTCGCTGACCTCCAGGGGCACTCTGACACAGTGCCTTTACTTTCCAGCCCATAAAATGGGCCTCAGGGATCTTGTGGGGTAGAATGTGTCTGGTTGGTGGTGGGGAATAAAGAGGATGTTATCCAAGAACTCTACTTCTGTATGTCAGGTTTTTTTTTTTTTTTTTTTTTCTTTGTCTCAAGTTGAATTGGGAATGGGAAACCACCAGGCACAGAAACACACCTTTTCTGTCCTGCTTTCTTGGTGGTGTGTCCTCGTGGGCTGCTCTCATTCCAGACTTGGCCTGGACTCTGGTCACGGTGCCAGACAGCACTGGGTGGGGCTTGCAGATCCCAGGGGGTGGTGGTCCTGACCTGGCAGCAGGGGCTCGCAGAGTGCCCAGGCTATCTCCAGGCCTGTACTGGGTTGGGGAGTTCAGAGGTATGGATGAGGCCAAGGCTGCCCCAAGGAGCTGAGACTAACCCTGCAAGTCAAGAACATGCAGTGTACCCAGGGCCCTACCCATGTCGACCCTCAAGAAATCACTGTGACGTCATTGGCAGGCTGAATGCCACTGGGGGGTGCCTGGGGTACTAATTCTAAGCCAAGAGAATCCGGGAGTACTTTGTTTCCAGCGTCTGTCGAGTGCCAACTGGGCAACCAAGAACTGTGATGATTGTTCTCCCCTGTACAGCTCAGGAATGGTCCCGAGGGCCAAGCTAGCCTGAGAGAAACCCCACAGTAGATTAATGGATGTAGAGGGGGCGAAGGCTGAGGTCTGACTTAGCTGGCAGTGGGAGGGGAACATTTCTTTCGGTGGGTACCAAGGAGCTCGGTACTCTGGGGAGACCAGAGTGTCAGACCATTAGTGCGATGAGTAGGGCGGCTCTGTCCGCTTCGATGGAAGGCTGTGTCCTGGGGCCTAGGGAGGGGTTCAGGCAAGGCCTCATCAAGGTGTCTCAGGAGCTGAAGCCTGAAAAAGAAGTAGGGATTTACTGAACAGACTGGAAACAGGGAGGGTGTTCCAGGTGGAAAGCAGCAGGAGCTGGGACGAGGACGTGAGAAAGCTTGTGTGTTCTGGCAAGTGCCAGGTGGAGGGCAAGTGGGAAGGGGTAGGACTGAGCCTCGGGAGCCAGCTCCACTGGGGGGGGGGGGCGCGTGGGGGGAGAAGACAGCTGGAGCAGGACTGGTAGACGTGGAGAAGACCATGTGAGGGCACAGGAGCTGGGGCAACGCCGAGGTGGAGAGAGAGAGAGAGAGAGAGAGAGAGAGAGAGAGCGAGCGCCAGCACAAGTGTGGGGGGTGGGGGAGAGGCAGAGGGAGAAGCAGACCCCCCATTGAGCAGGGAGCCCAACATAGGGCTTGATCCCAGGAGCCTGAGATCACGACCTGAGCTGAAGGCCATTGCTTAACCAACTGAGCCACCTAGGTGCCCCGATTCCTGCTTCTTTTTAAAAAATTATTTTGGAACAATTTTAAACATGGAGAAAAATGGATGAGTCTGATGTCCTTGACCCTCCTGAAGGTAACAGAGGATGCGCCTTAGCCTCGGTTTGTCCAAGCTTCCTCCTGATTTGATTCAGGATATGCTCTTTGGTGGTGATGTCACATTAGAGCTGTCATCTTCTTATGTGTCCACTGGGTGGCCCGTGATGTTAATTGGTCCTATTACAGGTGATAATGTTGATCATTTGAGTAAGGTGGCGCCTGCGAGGTTTCTCTGCTGTAAAGTTTTTTTTCCTCCTTTGTAATTAATAACTATTTTGTGTGGAATCACTATGAAACTATGTAAATACACGGTTCTGTAACCCACTTTCACCATGATGTTCACCACCTGTTTATGCCTCTTGGCTGAGTAGCTTTAATCATTGCAAAATGGTCATTTCTTTATTTTCATGATTTCTCCTACATTTATTAGTTGGCATTCTATTATAATAGCTTTCCCCTCAATTTGTTTAGTTGTATCTGTGTGGGCTCATGGATTCGTATTTTTTTTTTCAGTGGATTATAATCTATTATTGTCATTTATTTTAAGGCCCAAACTATTGGCTGGTGAGAGCGCCTTCAAACCAGCTTCTGTGTTCCTTCTTTTTGGCATCTCCCCATCGTTCTCTGAGGCCTGCGTTCAAAACAAAACGTTCTGGGCTTGCCTTGTACTTTCCCTGGAACCAGACATTTCTCCAGGATTCTGTTTACTGGAGAATGGTGTTTAGAAGCCAACATCTAGGTATAAGGGGTGCTTATTGTTCCGAGCTGTTGCTGCTCCTGGGCTCTCTCAGTAGATCCTACATCTATATTTATTCCTGTCTCTGAATATGATGAACCTGGAGTTACCACCGAGTAACCGACTTGTATTTAATGCCACGAGGTTCATTCGGGCTCTCCCCTCTTCCTGTTTGTTCTCCCTCCTGTCAGTGAGAAACGCGTTACATTATCCCTAGTTTATTTTCCTGTTTGCTCCATCCCCTGCATGTGGCCAACCTTCTGACCCCTTTGGCCTGCCTCTGTCACCATGCTCTGAGGCTATTCTCACACAGGCCACAATTACCACTCCCCCACAAGCCTGCCTATTGTGATTTTTTTTTTTTTCGAGGGAAGGAAGTCACCCTTGCTTCTTCACTGCTTCAGACCAGAAGTGTTGCATATCCCTTCTGTTCACGTACCTTCAGGAGAACTTGGCTCCACCCAGAAGCAAGTGGCAGGGTGGGAAATGTCTCTAGCTAGGCATATGCTTCCCAGCAGGACCCTCATAGCCTAGAATGACTGTGGAAGAGCTGGCTGACCCTGCCAAGCAGGATCTCATTTTAGTGCCACTTTAGGAACAAAGATTCACTTCTGTAACCTAAATAAAAATAGGGCTAGTGTTCAGAACCTCCTGGACAGGTGTCAGAAACCTCCTTGACTCAGGGAGGCTCAAGCACCACTAGGTATGCGCCAGGTGTATCCACATCCTCTCTGCTTTGTTCCCCCTCTTCTGGCCTTCTCTGCAGGCAGGGTCTCTCCTTCCTTGTAAGCATGGTTTGCATTTGGCCATACAGACCTTTCTGGCCCTCTGTCCATGCCCTTTAACCTCTAGCTCTCCTTATCACATGCCCTGTTTTCAAATTCCCTCAATAAATGCCCAAGAGAACAGATGTCTGATTGGGTCCATCATCTTCTTATGTCCTGCTATGGCTGGGGCTGTGTCAGGTGGGTTCTTTTAGCCTGGAAGAAGCCCCTCACAGCCATCTGCATTGCGCATGAGGCTGGGTGCTTCCAGCTGACACTGGGGATGTGGGTGCAGTGAAGGGCCTGGGGCCAGTAGTGTTACAGGAGAGAAGCAGAGCAGGAGTCTGCCAGGGGGCCAAGGAGAGACAAGCAGAGGCACAGGAAGAGAACCAGGGAGACTGAGCCCTAGCTTACCAGCATCCCTCTTCCCCCTGGGTATGTGCTAGACTTCACGGTGGCCACTTTCAGGGTGGCTGTGCCCATGAGTTCCAGCTCATGAAATTAGAGCAGAAAGGAGGTGCACCACTTCCAGGCCTGGCTGTAACAACCTGTGTGCTCTGCCCCGCTGCCCTTAATGGGAATGGAGGTGACCATTTGAGACTTTGAGACTTTGGAAGCCACTTTTTTTTTTTTTTTAAGATTTTTATTTATTCATGAGAGACAGAGAGGCAGAGACATAGGCAGAGGGAGAAGCAGGCTCCATGCAGAGAACCCAATATGGGACTTGATTCTGGAATTCTGGGATCACGCCCTGAGCCGAGGTCAGATGCTCAACCAAGGAGCCACCCAGGCGTCCCTAGATTTGGGTTTCTATTTGTCTCAGCAGTAGAACCTACCCTTGAGAAATAAAGTCTTTCCCTAGCTGGAAGCACCATAACCAAACCACATTGGGGGGAGAGAAGAAGAAACAGGGAGATTTCCTGTGTCCTCTGAAGCTTATAAATTTAGCTGGAAGTTCAAGTGGAAAAGGAAAGTATTTCCCAGGCTTGCCAGGGTTAAGGGTTGCCTCTTCCTCAAGTGGGGGTACTGCCTCTGTCTCTCCTGGCCCCTAAATGGACCCCAGTACCGTGGAGCTCCTCCCAGCCCTGGGACCCGGCAGGCAGCAAAGCCACCTGTTGTCTTTCAGGAGATGTGAACTCATCATGGCTGAGAGCCAACAATGCTTCCTTCTCTTAGGTTCTGTGATGTCAAACAATCTGCCCACTATTCCTACTAATCATTAAAGTCCCATACAACTGCCAGCGTTTCGGCATCCAAACCATACCTTCCTGCTATCTCTGGAACTTGCAAATTCAAAGACAAAAGTCTTTTGTTAGGTAGGGAGCCTCGATTTTCAGTTCCATGCCTCTGGGCCCTGCTGGGTGGGAAGAGAGGAGTGGTGTGGGGTAAATGGCCTAGGGAATGGAGTATGAGGTTTCTTTTTGGAATGATGAAATATCCTGGAGTTAGGTGGTGGTGATGGTGGAACAGTGTAACACCAACGACTTATACACTTTAAAAGAGTAAATTTTATGGTATGTGAATTGTACCTTAATTTTTTTTTAAATTTCTTTTTTTTTAAATTTTTATTTATTTATTTATGATAGTCACAGAGAGAGAGAGAGGCAGAGACACAGGCAGAGGGAGAAGCAGGCTCCATGCATCGGGAGTCTGATGTGGGATTTGATCCCGGGTCTCCAGGATCGCGCCCTGGGCCAAAGGCAGGCGCCAAAACGCTGCGCCACCCAGGGATCCCTTGTACCTTAATTTTTAAAAAATCATTCATTTCCACAAACATTACTAAACTCCTAGGGAACTTGGTACTGGGGTCGATGCCAGAGACCAGGGACCCATAGTCCAGCAAAGCAAGGTCTCTGCCCACAAAAGCGGGTCAGATGTGGTTGTTACCCTCCTTGGTGTCAGAGTTTAGCCTCAGCCCTACTTTTATCTAGGGGTGTCAAGGAGAGAAAAGAGGAGATAAAAGCTCCTTGGAAGTTTGCAAAGCCCAGGACAAATGCAAGGCTTGGGGCGTCCAAGCTGTGGCTCTCTGATGGTCCCTCAAGGGCCAGCATTAGGACCAGCAGGGCCTTGAGCACTCTGTGTGGTTGCTTTTCTGTGGTCCCAGGGGCTGAGAGAAGGAGGTAGAGACTCCCCTACCTCTGACTGAATCCCCTTCTTAAGCCCAAATTCAGGGGGCAGGGTGTCAGCCAGCACCTAGGAGAAGAGCAAGGATTCCAAAGAAGTAGAAGGGGCCGCCTGGGCCGTATGGGATAATATGTGAGTAGGGCGCTCACAGGAGGACACCAGCTTCCCCCCATCTCAGGAAGGTTCTGGGCACCAAGGTCTTCTAGTTGGAACTGATGACAATCCTCCCCATACCAGGGGTATACCAGGGGATACAGGGTCCTTGGCCACAGCTTTTGGTAAAAGTCCAGAACAGTTTACACTGCTAGTGTGAATATTCATGAAAACCGGGAAGACGAAGGGCGGTATTCAAAAGAGCATTGGGCTGGGAGCTCGGAAGTTGCCAACATACTATGTAGCCCTGGGCAGGCTAATCTGCCCACATAAAACACCTGTAAGAAATGTCTGCTGTGTGCCAGGCTTCAAGTTAAAACACTTCACAGAGATGATCTCATCGGATCTTTTCCACAATTCCTAGGGTGGGCGCTAATATTTGCATTAAATGGACGAGGACGGCTCATCCTTCACCAAATTGGCTACATCTTACCGCCGGGTGGGAGCTTGCGCCAGGGCGGCCTGTTTCTCTCCAGATCCCAGTCAAGCGCCTTTGTCTCCAGGACCCCCCCTCCAACTAGTTCCCCAATTTCAGGCAGCCCTCCCACTCCCCCATCCTTTCGCCACAGAAGGGAAGTCACATCTGTCACCCTCCCGCTTAAGACCTCGCAGGGAGGGGCGCAGGGCGTCCCAGTGCCCCGGGTGACGCAGCCAGCCCACCAGGCCGGAGGTCTGCGCGCCTGCCCGCGCTGGGCCCGCTGCCCCTGGCCGCCCCTGCGAGGGGCCCTCTGTCCTGCTACCGGGGCCTTGCACACCCGCGGCACAGCTGCCTCTGTCCTCCCCGGGGCCCACCCCTTCTCATCCTGGGAGAGAGGCCGCGGCCCGCTTCCCTGCCCCCAGGCTTCCCTACTGCGGTTGGCCCTGCAGCACTTGTGGGTTTACCCCAGGCTGTCAGCTCAGCGGAAGGAGAGCAGCGCGCCGTGGGGCTCTCGGTCCGCCGGCGCCCGCCGGCCACGGGGCGGGCTGAGGGCGGCTGCCCGGCGCGGTCCGCCCGATCGGGATTTCCAGGCGAGCCGCGGGAGGCAGGTGGCCGCGGGCACGCTCGGGGCGGTCGTCCCGCCGCGGTGCCGGGGCCACCCTCTGGGGCCGGGGGCGGGCCGGGGGGCAGTGCCGGGGGCGGGGCCGGGGCGGGGCCGGGGGCAGTGCCGGGGCGGGCCTGGGCGGGGGGCAGTGCCGGGGGCGGGCCTCTGGGGGGCGGGGCGGGGGCGAGGGCGGAGCCGGGGCGGGCCTGGGCGGGGGGCAGTGCCGGGGGCGGGGCCGGGGCGGGGCCGGGGGGGCAGTGCCGGGGGCGGGGACGGGGCGGGGCCGGGGGCAGTGCCGGGGCGGGCCTGGGCGGGGGGCAGTGCCGGGGGCGGGGCCGGGGCGGGGCCGGGGGGGGCAGTGCCGGGGGCGGAGCCGGGGCGGGGGCGGAGCCGGGGCGGGCCTGGGCGGGGGGCAGTGCCGAGGGCGGGCCTCGGGGGGCGGGGCCGGGGCGGGGCCGGAGCCTGGGCGGGCCTCTGGGGGCGGGGCAGAGGCGGGGCCGGGACAACCTCTGGGCCGGGGCCTGGGCGAGGCCGGGGGCGGAGCCGGACCGAGCCTGGGCGGGGGGCAGTGCTGGGGGCGGGGCTGGGGCGGGACCGCGGGGGGGGCACCCTCTGGGGGCGGGGCCAGGGTCGGGGGCGGGGCCGGGGAAGTGCCGGGGCGTCCTCTGGGGCGGGGCCGTGGGCGGGGCCGGGGCGGGCCTGGGCGGGGGGCAGTGCCGGGGCACCCGCTCCGGGGCGGGGCCTGGGAGGGGGCGGAGCCGGGGCGGGCCCTCGTCGAGCCCCGCCCACCCCCCGCCGGGAGGAGCCCGGAGCGCGCGGCGACCGCGGAGCGGCCCGGGGGGTGGCGCGCGGGTCGGGCTCTCGGGCCCCCCACACGCCCGGAGGGCTCGCGGGGCCTGGCAGACGCGGCGGTCGGCGTGGAGGTCGGTGCGCCGGCGTTGGGCCCGGCGGGGGAGGGCGGCCGTGCGGGGTCGCGGGGCCCACGCCTGCCCGCTCCCAGGTGCCCCAGGACACGGAAACCGGGAAGTCCAGCCCCGGCCCGGGTAGGGCAAGCTCGCCCCTCCCTCCCCGTCCGCCCTCGAAACTCCTGCGGAGTCTTCCCGGGTCAGACGGGCGCTCCCCTCCCCGAGGGCCCGGGGGTCCCCGGCGGGCGGAAGCCAGCGTCCCGGGGCGGGAGGAGAGCCTCGGTCGCCAAGGACGGCAGTGGCCGAGGGCCTGCTCGCGTGCGCTGGGGGCCCGCTCCCCCGCCACGCGGCCCCAGGTTCCGCCGGGACAAAGGTCAGTGGTCGGGAACGTCTGGGGGGACTGGGGAAGGCCAGACAGTCCGAAATCCTCCCGGAGCTGCTTTTAGTGGGTGATGGTGGGCGCTTTCCTTCCAGCAGCACCCCTAGACCCCGGCCTTTCCCTCCAGGAGTCCCTCTGACGCTTGGATGCACAGTCAGGGTGGGGAGGGAGAGGCCCGTGGAAGCCGGTGATCCCACAGGGGACGGGCCCAGGGCAGAGGGTGCGACCGCTGGGAAGGGGCTCTCAGGCGGCCCGCGGGCTCCTACCGTGTGCTCCAAGGCCAGTATGTAAAATAGGTAAATATGTGAAATATCGGGGAAGCCTGCCCAGGTTGGTGTGTACACAGGCGCAGGACCACCCAGGGCCCCAAGCTCTGGGACCCCGCTGCCCTCTCCCTTGTGCCTGGCCTTGTTCAGGACTACTTAGCGGTTAGGGGTGGAGCTGGGCTGAGCTGGTGTCCTTGTGGGCCAGCCCGGCCTCTGGTGGTGAAATGTGGAAATCAGGGTCCAGACGCAGGCGGTGAGCAGATAGTTGGTCTGGGTGTTGGGGGAGCCACGGAGTGACTTGCTCCCAGGACGGTGTACAAGTTCCATGGCCTCGGTTTTCCCTGAGTGTATATGTGACACCTGAATGAGCCTTTCTGCCCAGAGCTACCCTCTCCTGGGGCATGAAAGGACAACTGCCTCTTCAGAAATCTGTCTTTTTTGGGTTATATTCAGTGTGCCTCCCCGGGGGGCCTGGCCAGTACTGAATGCCAGCACTCAGCCTGCACCCCTCTTCCCTGACCTGTGAGGAAGGCTGCCTGCCCCTCCCCCCACCCATGCTGGGAGAGAGGATGGTCAGGGTGAGTCCCACTCTAGTGGCCCCCTCATTCAGATGGTCACTTGGAAGCATGGCCCTGGAAATCCACTCTTGGTGTAACTGTGCTGACTCAAAAAACGGGTGTGTGTTATTTGTAATCTCTCTGAAGTAATGCTGGGGCAATGTCCTTGCTTGGATCAGAGTTCACATGGTTCTTATGTCTTCAGAGGCACGACCTCTTAGCAGCTTTGGCATAAATAGAACTTCTTCACTTTTCAGGAGATTCATTCCTAACAGCCCCTTGTTTGTGTTGTTAGAGAAGAATCCTTCTGGGGCCAGGCTGGTGTCCTTGGCAGAGAAAACAGGATTTACTGAGAAAATACAAGTGTGAACCAGATTGTGCGTGTGTGTGTGTGTTGGGGGCAGGAATGGGTGGGTGGCAAAGGTAAAATTCCATAGGAGTTGTTGGACAATTAGGATTTGTTTTCTTGGACCTTCTTTTATGCGAACATTCCTGAGTCTAGGCTGATGTAGTTAAGATTCTCTGGGGTCACCCTCTCCCTTGGCTTGATGTTTCAGTTCAAAATCAGATGGTGGGGCTGGCAGTTCCTGAAAAAATTAAAAGTTACCATGTGACCTAGCAATCTCATGCCTAGGTATATATACTTGAGAATTAGAGACAAAAGTCCACACAAAAACTTGTACACGAATGTTCCTAGCAACATTACTCTAACAGCCCAAAGGTGGGAACAACACAAATGTCCATCAGCTGACAGATGGATAAATAAAACGTGGTATTTCCATACAGTGGAATGTTAGCCATAAGAAGGAAAGAAGTACTGATATATCCTGCGGTTTGGAGGTTTGGATAAATCTTGAAAACGTTATGCTAAGTGAAGGAAGCCAGACACAAAAGGCAGGAAACAGGGGAATCTATAGAGACAGACACATGAGTGGTTGCCAGGGGCTGGAGGGAGAAAGGCATGGGGAGTGACTGCTAATGGATAAGAGGTCATTTTGAGGAGTGATGAAAGTATATTCCGGGATTAGATTGTGGTGATGGTTGCACAACTTTATGAATGTACTAGAAACCACCAAATTGTATACTTTAAACTTGTATAACATATGACTATCTCAACTTAAAAAAATAGATGGTAGGAAGCCTGCCCTGGTTTTCAACCTTTATTATTTCTATAAAAATGGCATACTCAGTTAAAGATGTTCAGGCAATACAAAAAAAACAAAAACAAAAAAACAAGCAAGCTCAAAGAAGAAAGTAAAAATATCACTTAGTGACCACTCTTGGTAGTTTGGTTTGGACCGTGGTTCTGGTCAGAGTGTTGAGGATGGAACTTGGACAAATTATTGAACTGGTTTCCCAGATGGGGACAGAACCCCACGCCTGTTCAATGCAGAGGTGTGTGTAAAAGTACAATGGATGCTAGCAGATAGAATGGTGACTTGTCTGTGTGTACGGGGCTGGGTATCTATCTGATTGTACTCAGTGGGATTAGACTTTATATGCTGTTTCCGGGCTTTTCCATGGACAACTTTTTTTTTTCTTTTTTTAAAAAAATATTTAATTTATTTATTCATGAGAGACAGAGAGAGAGGCAGAGACAGAAACAGAGGGAGAAGCAGACTCTTCGCTGGGAGCCCTATGTGGGACTCGATCCCAGAATCCTGGGATTATGACCTGTGCCAAAAGCAGATGCTCAACCACTGAGCCACCCAGGTGCCCCCATGGACAACCTTTTTTTCCCTCCCTAGGACTTTATGTTTTTAGAGTAGTTTTAGGTTCACAGCAAAAGTAGAGGGGAAGGTACAGAGATTTCCCATATGCCCCCTGCCCTTGCGCCTTCCATTGCTTTTCCCATTATCAGCATCGCTTACCAGACTGGTACATTTGTTACAGTTGATGAGCCTACGTGGACACAATCACCCAAAGACCATAGTTTGTTTGTTTATAAAAATATTTTATTTATTTATTCATGAGAGCACAGAGAGAGAGGCAGAGACATAGGCAGAGGGAGAAACAGGCTCCTGGTGGGGAGCCTTATGCAGGATTTGATCCCAGGACCCCAGGATCACGCCCTGAGCTTAAGGCAGATGCTCAACCATTGAACCACTGAGGCGTCCCAAGACCATTGTTTGTTTGTTTGTTTATTTATTTATTTATTTATTATTTTATTTATTTATCCTGAGAGACACAGAGAGATGCAGAGAGAGAGGCAGAGACACAAGCAGAGGGAGAAGCAGGCTCCATGCAGGGAGCCCGACGTGGGACTCGATCCCAGGTCTCCAGGATCACGCCCCGGGCCGAAGGCAGCACCAAACCTCTAGGCCACCGGGGCTGCCCAAGACCATAGTTTATATTAGGGTTCACTCTTGGTCTTGTACGTTCTACGGGTGTGGAGTAGTCATGGACAAAGTTTTCATGTAAAATATCATCCATTCTGGAAACACATGACTCCAGAACATTCCATCGTATGGGTGTTTAATAGAGTAGTCTGCCCTTTATGGAGGTTTTGATTGCTTGTGGCATCTCCCATCGATTGAGGCTGTTGGCATAGCACTACTGCTACGTTAGAGCATGGGACTCAATTGCAAACATGCTTTTTGACCTCCTTAGGGTAGTTAGGAACACAGGTCTGTGGCTTAAGCCCACGGATTTGGTGTCCCGAGTAAGTCATGGCAGCAGGGTCTAGCTGTCCTTGGGGCCAGGCGAGAATTGGCACTGGAAGAGCCGAGGGAGGGTTGGGGTGTCCAACAGTGTGGGGTAGGGGAGGCTGCTGAGCAGGAAGGGTGGAATGTCAGAGGGATGACACTCCCAAGAGTGTCAGAGGCTAGTAGGGGAGAGAGGCACAGATTCCTGGAGAGGCCTCCCACAGTGTGAAAGCACTTCCCCTCCCCTGGCCTAGCTACGGCGGCCCCTCAGGCCCCACACCCTTCCACAGGGAGTGCAGAGAAGCGGTTTGCTTTCATGGAGGGTTAGCCCTTTGGGGAAGCCAGCTGATGATCCTTGGGGACTGAGGGAGCAGGGATTCAACTCCTTTGGCCAACCCACCATCTGCCAGGCCTATGCTGGGGTTGCGGGGCTTTCTTCCCTGGGATGGAGACCCTGGTGGTTACAGCCTGGGAGTAGGCCTGAGTGATGCCCTGGCAGCATGACATGTGTCTGCTGGCCCTGTCACCTGCCCTCCTGGCCTCCCCACATTGTTTCCTGAACTCCCACCCCCTCCCTTCCTGCCGCTGGACTTTGGGTTCTAAGCTTTGCCTTTGGTGGTGAAGGCCCACGGCCCCTTGATTTTCAAGGCTCCTCCTGAGCTGGCCTGGGTGGTCCCATGTGACCGGACCTGTGGTGGACCCCGTCTCCCCAACGAGCTGTGTATCCTTTCTATGTGCCTGGGCCAGCCAAGTTGGAAGCAGTTCTCTGGTTCTCCCCAGCCTCCTTGCTGGCTGCTAGTCCCAGGGGCAGGCTGGCACGAGGGGCTGTGTGGAAGGGGGCAGGTGAAGTGCACCCCTTCCATAGCCCGCCTCATTGTCTGCCACATTCATGGGCTCTGCTGTCTTCCTGGGATCCTCTCCTGACCTCTGGCTGGGTCCCTGGGCCCTCTTGTGTCCTGGCCCCAGGAAGTATTCTCCTTCTGGCCCAATTGGCAGATTCAGTCTGTTGAACACTCAGGGGACGAGCTATGGACCAGCTTTTTAAAGGCGGGGAGCAGTGAGAGTGGCACTGCCTCTGGGGACTTGTCTTGGTCAGAGTCCTGCTGAGGACTCAGTTTCCTCATCTGTAAAACAGGTGGAATGTACAAACCTCCATGCATTGAGGACTATTTGGCTAATGGGAAACAAAGTTAGATCCCTTCTAATCTGTGCTACCCCCACCATTCCTAGCTTCTCTCTGCAGGGGAGAAATGAGGCAGTGCACATCTGAGTACCAATTAGATCAGTGCCTGCGGGTCCATAAGCTGCCTCTATAACCATGGAAGGCTCTGGGGGCCATCCTGGGGGGGGGGTCACCATGTCCTGGAAATATGTGCCAGAACATCTCACGGTGTCCCCTCCCACTGCAGGGGGTAAACGGCGGCCCCAAGAGTGGGGAAGGGCTGTGCCCGAGGCCACACAGACGATGCAGACTGGAGTAGTGGCCTTCCCCTTCTGTACTGCTGCCTGGAAGGGCCTGGATGACTTGAAACATACTTCCCCAGTGAGCCCGGCAGCTTTCTTGTGTCCTTCAAGGTTGACCTGAGTCCAGTTTCTTATTTCCTTGACCTCTCCCTCTCCCCTCCCCCTGAACACCCCCTCCCTGAAGCCCACCAGAGCTGCCGCCTTCTCTGCCTACCCGGTGCAGGGTAAGCTTTGTTGCTTTCCTTAGCGTTGCCCTCCGGCAGCCTGGCTTACTCCTGCCTCTCCTTGGAGCCTGCACGGGCCAGGAGGAGTTTTGATCGATTGCCTGCCGCCCTTGAGCCAGCATCTCCCCACAGGATGCTCTTGGGATCGCAGCTCCTCAGACAGCTGGGTGCCCACCCTAGCGAGCCCCGAGGCCTGCAGCACTAGCGCCTTTCTCTGGGGCTATGCTGGGCTGGGGACAGGGCTCCTCGCCGCAGCCCCAGGCCGGCCCCTCGGCCCTCCCCTCGGCCCTCCATGGAGGCAGACTCTGGGACGCACCGGATGGTCCAGGCCCGCGGGAGGATGGGCCTGGGGGGCCGTCTCCCAGGCTGGCTCGGAGAGCCCAGGCAAACTGCTACTTTCTTTTTCCTTTGTGCTCAGCGGTTCAGTGTCTAGTGGGCCAGCCCGGCACTGCCCTCCGCCTCCGATGTCCTCCACCATCCGGTTCGGTGCCGAGCATTGGTTCTCAAATTTTAGCTCCTTAGGGATTCAGCCAAAGTTGGTTCTCGGTTTGCTGGGAACTGGTCACGCTGCCCCAGTCCCTGTGTGAGCGCGAGCCTGGCGCACACTTGGCCTACAGGTCTGGCTTCTGCCCTCTGCAGGTGCTCTCACAGATGACCACTCCCCTGTCCCAGGCATCCAGCACCAAGCACCACCTCTGACCAGAGCCTGCATGATCAGTGCTTCTCCCCCACCCCGTGTCTTACCAGCAGACATTTCTTCCCATCCCGTCTCCTGGGGAATGTTGCTCAGCAGTCTTGGGCACATCTGCTGTCCCAGGAATGCTCAGGGGAGTGACTTGCCCACTGCAGGCCCCCTTTCCCCACCCATGACCAACCATGATGGTATCATATCTTGTTTTGGAGATTGCTCAGCATAAACCTGCTAACTGATCTCCTTAGACCCGGGGCTCAGGGTGGTGGCCTGGGAGCTGCACAGAATCCGGCGTCTGCCCAGTGCAGCATGTAAGGAATATTGTAGCTACTTCCTTTAACGTGGTCTGTGCTTGCCAGTTGCCCACTGCTGTGCACCTGCCCAGCTCCCCTCATCGACCTCCTCCACCCTGCCCTTTGAGTCTGCGAGGCCTGCCTTAAAAGGACAGAGACCGTATCTCTGTGTGTGTGTGTGTGTGTGTGTGTGTGTGTCTGTGTGTGTCTGTGATTATGGCGTCCATAGCACAGAGCACACCAAAAAGCGGGAAGCTGGTTAATGCATGTTGAGTGAACAAATTATATATGGAGTGAAAAAATGCACAACAACTTGTTTAATGTGTGCAAAAAGTAATATTGGAGGTGCACAGAATATCTCTGGTAATGGGGGCAGCATGCCTTGGAGAAGGGAACTGGGTGGTTGGGGAATGGGATAGAGTTAGGGTACACCTTGTTCCTTTGCAATTTAGTTCCGATGTTACAGAATTGGAATTTCATTAATATATAGTCACATAATTTAAAAAGATCCAAGTCATGGGGTACTTGGCTGGCTCAGGCAGTAGAGCACCTGACTCCTGACCTTGGGGTTGTGAGAGTTTGAGCCCCACTTTGGGTGTAGAGTTTACAAAAGAATAAAAATAAATAATAAATGAGAAAAGATCAAGTCTTTGCATCTGAGGCCTTTCTTGCCGCGGGCCCCCTGACCCTGCCAGCTCTTGAGCCCCCTGACCCTGATGCAGTCTCTCCTCCTACCCCAGCAGTGCCTGGTTCAAGATGGGGTCCCAGGTCTCTGTGGACATGGGAGCCGTGCGCGTGGTGATCGTGGGTGGTGGCTTCGGTGGGATCGCTGCTGCCAGCCAGCTGCAGACTCTGAACATCCCCTTCATGCTGGTGGACATGAAGGACTCCTTTCACCACAACGTGGCAGCCCTCCGGGCCTCCGTGGAAAGTGGTAATGGACTCTTTTCTGGGGCTTTCTTTGTGAGAGTGGTCTTGTCACCACTGTGGGGCCTGGGGGTGGTTTTCTCCACTTAGGGCAAGGCCTAAGTGCCACCTTTAGAGAAGCTCTGGAGAGTCTTAAGGCTACTGGCCTTATGCAGCTACCATCTCAAGGCCGTAGAAGTAAGAGCTGGGCTTCCCTGAGGACCTGGTGAAGCTCAGGCTGGTGCTCTCGGGGCAGGGGGGAGCGGTAATTCCCAGAATACCATTGGCTCGGCTGTTTGGCCAAGGATACACCTCAGGAAAGGTTTCGAGTCATTCTGGCTTCCTGCAGAGAGCCCAGGTTTACTCTGTGATCTCCTCTGTGCCCATTCCCCAGGCTTTGCAAAAAAGACATTCATTTCCTACTCGGTGACCTTTAAGGAGAACTTCCGGCAGGGGCTAGTCGTAGAGATCGACGTGCAGAATCAGATGGTGCTGCTGGAGGATGGTGAGGTGAGCGTGGCGGGGGCTGAGCTGACCCTCAGCTGGCTTCGAGAGGCCCCCAGGAAGCCGCAGCTGCTGGTGGGAGGAGACCTGGGTGGTCTCAAGGGTGCAGACCCCTCTGTGGCCCCTACATGGTGCCGGCTGGATGGCACATTCCTCACACGCAGAGGCCTGGCCACAGCAGCCACGGGAGTGTGGTGGCAGCCTCTCCTGCGCCTTTCCTGTACGCCAGGCACTGTGTTAAGCTTACTTAGTCTCATGTCATGCCCTCCATGACTCCGTGAGGGAGGTGGTATAGCCTCGCTTTATGGAGAGGCTCAGTGGCTTGTCCAAGATCCCACAGCTGGTAGGAAACTCAGCCAGGATTTGAACCCAGGCAGTTTCACCCCAGAGAGTCTATGCTCTGAAAGCTGGTGTTCCAGAATAGGCCCGGCCTGGCTGGCCTGTGGGGGCCCTCTTGGCTGTGTAGGTACACACATGATCCCACATCCCCTGGATTGGGAGGTCCCTGGGGCAGAGGCCTTCACTCATCTCTGCATTTCCCAGCCCCAAGTAGAGCCCGGAGCCTGGCACATACCTGCAGTGACGGGGGATCCATCCGTGAGCCACCATATGTCGTGCTGCCAGTCACCTCCAGCCTGGCCCTCCACTCTATTCAGAGCTAAGGGGCAATTGGAAAGAGGGGACACAATTGCTTTCCTCAGTGACTTTGTGAGAATCAGTCTTCCTTGAATTAATTTTAGGGCTGAGGAATCTCTTGGCTGGAAAGGTGACCAAGTCTCCTTGTCCTGTGGTTTAGGCCATGCTTCTCAGGGCCCTAGAAGGGACCATGAGGGCATCTTGGGTCTCCACGGGGTTGGGCAGAGAGAGAGACAGCCGCACTGTGCCCCCTCCCACCAGAGCAGCAGCTCTGATTTTGTCCACTTCATGCATTTGGGCTCCAAACAGAATTTCTCTCCCTCCCTTCCTTTCTTTGTGGGAGCAGAGGAAGTACCTAGGAGATTCCAGACCAACTCCACACTGGCAGCTGGAGTCTGCTTGTCTGCACAGTATCTCCTGTGCCCTGCTCGCTCACTCGCCTGCCACCCATCCCTGTGTGTGTCGGCCCCAGCAGGAGCGTGTTGCGCTCCCTCAGCTGTCTCCCGGGTTCCAGGGCCACCCCTTGGCCTGCTCAGTGGCGGGTTTGCTGCTTTCAGAGGAGGGCGGCCTCGGTGTGCTCCCTGCCCGGCGTGCCTGATCGCAGGCAGAAGCGCAGGCCTGCCCTCACCTCTTTTCCTTTGCTCCTCCCAGGCCCTGCCCTACTCCCATCTTATCCTGGCCACCGGCAGCACCGGGCTCTTCCCGGGCAAGTTTAACCGGGTTTCCAGCCGGGAGCTGGCTATCCAGGCCTACGAGGACATGGTGAAGCAGGTGAGCTGTCTGTTGGGAGAACCCCAGGAGAGGAACCACTGGGGGGACATGGGAGGCACAGCCATGAAGATGGAGGGTTAGCGGGAAGAGACTCCCTGGCGGGGACCTTTGTCCCCGTCATCAAAGTCTGGCTGGGAGCACCCCAGACCTCACGTAGTGACTGCTCTGTATCCCCGACTTAGGTCTCTTGGAGTCTTGTGTGCACAAGGCTCTGTGTTTTAGAGAGCAGGCTTGAATCCATGATCTCAGGCGGTTTTCACCAAGAGGTGGCCAGGGTCTGGCCCCACTGAAAGATGGGGAGTAGAGCCCCCGAGAAGGATCCCCCAGCCAGTGCTACCGCGGGACCACAGCCGGGTTCTGCCCTCTCTGCCAAGCTTCTGAGAAGCCTGGAGAACCTCTTGCACCATCATGAACAGATGTGAGTGCAGAGGTGAGGATCCTGGCCATGAACCCAGACAGACCTGGGCTGGGGTCACCTGAGTGGCAGCTCTCGGGGCTAAGCGAGGCCCGAGTGAGAAGATGCAGGGAGATGCCCAGAACGACCCGGCCCCAAGGAAGCCCATCTGGACCCAGATTTGGGAAGGGTTCTCTTCTCCTCTTTGGCCAAGGAGCCGGCACCCTCACTGAGCCCCGGGCACGCTGGGGCTAAGGGTGTGTTTCTGCTTCTTTCCACCCCAGGTCCAGCGCTCACAGTCGGTGGTGGTGGTGGGAGGCGGCTCTGCCGGCGTGGAGATGGCAGCGGAGGTTAAGACCGAATTCCCCGAGAAAGAGGTGGGCATGTGGCCTTAACTTTGGGCTCCCAGAGCCCGGCGTCTCTGTGTCATCTAGGGAGTACGGGGATTGGCCCGGCTCTGCCATGGGGAGTCCCCAAATGTCCTCTGTTCTGCCGGTGGTTTTTCCCAGAGAGCCAGGCTGTGTCCACATTCAGTGAGGGGTCCTGCACTCCGGTCCCACCAGGGGCACTGAGCCTGGGAGAGCTGCCTTGCGGAAGGTGAGCTCTCGTGTCCCCGTGGTGTTCCCACCCCTTGAGATAGAAACGTAGGCTGGGGCACCCTGGTGGCTCAGTGGTTGAGCGTCTGCCTTTGGCTCAGGGCGTGATCCCGGGGTCCTGGGATCAAGTCCCCATTGGGCTCCCCATAGGGAGCCTGCTTCTCCCTCTGCCTGTCTCTTCCTCTCTCTCTCTGTTTCTCTCATGAATAAATAAATAAAATCTTGAAAGAAAGAAAGAAAGAAAGAAAGAAAGAAAGAAAGAAAGAAAGAAAAAGGAAGGAAGGAAGGAAGGAAGGAAGGAAGGAAGGAAGAGAGAGAGAGAGAGAAAGAAAGAAAGAAAGAAAGAAAGAAAGAAAGAAAGAAAGAAAAGAAAGAAAAGCTTGACTCCCTCTTTTTGCTGGTAGCTGGCCTGGTCAAAGACACCTGCAGTTGGCGTTTGGTCTGGGGGAAGCAGCAGCTATTTGGTCGTCAGGAGATTGTCGCCCTTGCCCTGCGTGGCCACATGGGTGCCAACAGAGCAGGCCCCTCAATGCCCGTGCTGGGGAAGGACTGGCCAGCACCCATGGCAGGGTGACCCTGCTCCCTTTTAATGATGGAGGGAGGGAGAACCTGCCTGGAACTCTGGAGAGAAAGAGACTGTCCTCACAGGTTGTGGAGGCTCAGCTGAGGGCTGCGTGATGAGTGGGG